TCGTAAAAAGAAAGAGATTTAAAGCAAAGAAGACATTCGATTTTCAATTTTTTGCTTTTTTACTCAATTTATTTTAATATGCTTATAAACTTACTTCATATGTTCAAATTGTAGTATTATTGATTCATAGGTTTTACTTAATTATTGCAAAATTATAATTTAAGAGATAAAGTTGTGCAGCAGTAGCTAATTGATAATTATTTTAAAAAAATAAAGGATAGTAGGCATTTTTTAGATATTGGTAGTTGTACTTATAATGTAGACATTATTAAGTACAAAACAACAGGAATAAACAAAATTAATTTTCAATTCCAATCCGCTACACCATCGGCTTATGTACTGTACGTAAAAAAACGCCCTCCGTTAGTATCAGAAATTAAAAAAAAAACACACAAACACCGTCCTTCCTGTATTTTTTTGAAACAAAGTACAAGAGCCAAAGAAAATTTACAAACAAAAAGGTTAAGCTATTTTACTAACAAGTCAGGTGAGAAAAAATCAATCACCAATCATAAGTAAAACAAAATAATAAATTATTTATCAATAGAAATAATTATGGTTAATAAAGGAACGCTAAAACTACAAAGGTTCAAATACAAATTACAGAATAACTTAAAAACTACTAACGATAAGTCACAAGTCAATTAGATACAAAAATATTCTAATTTGACGTAACCAAGAGAAAAAATAGGAATATACAGGGTAACCCTTGAGCAAACAATAGAGCCTGCAACACTACAGCACGCTAAGCAACTAAGTGATTACTAACAAACCACATGCAATAAATACAAAAAAAAACTATCCCAATTTGACCATCAGCTACTTTGGATAATTTGATATAAAAAATAGACATAAAATACCCCTAAATAGCGATTGTAATTTGTTTTAAAATTACTTAGAAAGAATATATAGAAAACACTAAAAGTATAAAAAAGTTATGTCATAAATAGAAAATATATGTCCACAAGAAAGGTGACTGAAAGAATATTAATTTTTGTAAAATTCTATTTCCTTGCTGGATATATTTCTTTTATTTTTAAGAAATATTTACTTCACTGGAAATTTTTAACCATTCTTCAATGTTTTGAAAATTTACTACAAAAATTATTTTATCTGTCTTCATTTCAAAATTTACTATTTTTATGAGCACCCTGTACATTTAAATTAACCATTCCTATCCTAGAGTATTTATTTATTATTGAGAAGTAGGTAAGTATATGTGTATGTATAAACCACCAATAACATAAATAAAGAGATTCCATTTTTTCATCCTCACGACATTAATTTTAAAAATAAAAAAGGGGTCCAAGAAACTACCGGAATTAAGACTTTGTAAGATATATGAGTATAATATATAATTTAATCAATTAAAATAGAATCTAAAACGAGTACATTTACCCAAGCCAAAGACTAGGTGAATCTAAATGGAGTCAGATTAACTCGATGGAGTTGTTTATTTGTGAGGGTTGTTATATGAGAGTTTGTATTTATGGGGGCAGAGCGAATAGTGACTTTCAATCGGAAAAATCGTGCGGGTCATCATCTAACGAGTTCAACGAGATCAGCTTACCTGTTGCATAACCGTAGAGGGAGCTAGTGTCATCGTCCAGGTCATCTTGACTGCTCATACGACCTTAAAAAAAGGAAGAAATGTATGAAAATATTGTTTTATGTGTGTGGTTTTTATTTAAAACAAAGTGAGTGAAACAAACACAATTTTATTTTCGTCTGAAATTTTTAATAGTCAACAGTTTTAATTTTTTTTATTCAAATCTGTCATCTATTTTTTGGGTAGTCCCACCCACACATAAATATTTTTGTTTCTAACATAATTTTGTATTTGATATAAACATAGCAGACAAATATGTATTTTATTAATTATTATTAGTTTGATTTAGATTTAAACCTTTTTATGGGTTCAGATAGTGGCAACGCTGTAAAATTATCATTATTTAACGCGATATTCATGGTTGGTTACTGCACCACGTGTATTGAATTAAGTGTGCAAATTATATGATTATCTTGATTGTAAACATATGTGCATATATGTAAAACGTAGTTAAGTATATATACATAAATGGTCGTACTTTTAGTTTCATATTTAGACTGAAATATATAAATATACGTACATGAAATGACAAATACAATACGTGCTAAAAACGTTTATTATATTTCAGTTATCTCAATTTTTATTTTACTTTACGGTCGTACATACGACATTAATACACACAAGGAAAATTTTAATCGATTTTTAAATAAACTTTTGAGAACTTAAATGACGGCATAAACGTGGCATGTACGTACAAGGAAATTTTATTTTCTCAGAAAGTGTACATATACGGTTTTAGAATTACTTCGCATTATCAAATAATACCCATGACTTCAATTTTTATAAAATTCAAATAGAGAAGAGAATGTCGAGTCTTGGGGGCGGGGCGGAAGGAGCCGACAAGTCACGAGACTGTCCGATTGTAGCTTCCTTCAGTCTTGCAACACTTGACCGCTTACTTCAACTTTACCAAAACATATTTCACACAGAAGAAAGTTTAATTATTTCAATCACTGCCACTTATTATACTTTATACTATTTGTGATTTTGAAAGAGATCAGACGACAACAAGTGAGAATAAGCAGCAGTTCCCTATTATTTTGACATTATAAAAGCGTAGAATTATCGTTATTTCATTGTTTTATTTTGCAATCAATAATGTTTAATTTTAATTGTATCTCATTCACTTTATTTGATATTTAAATTAAATATTACGATGAAACATTTTAACACTAAATGGGCTTATGGCACTTACTGTTAAAATAGTAGTAGTCTCATTAAAAAAAAATAGAAAATAGGAAGATTTACTGACCTCTCAGACTAAATTGTGGCCTTCCATTTGCATTTCGGTAAAGGGTATTTTCCAAATACTGCAAGCCGTTATTGACGATAATGTTACAACCACAAAGCCTTTCGATTTGCTTCCACCGATACACCCGTTCTTGCAACTCTTGCGTAACTTCGTTCAATGATGTGCGCGCCTCTACGATGCTCCTATCGACGTCATCTATTGATTTTCCATGTGTTGAAACGAAAGCACCTACAAGACTCGATCTCTTCTTTCGTAACTTTTCACACTAAAATGATCATTATATTTTACTAATTTACACGTAACAAATTGAAAATACATTAGTGATATTTATCTTAATATTGTGATAAGAGAAATCTGAATAAAACTGAGCTGTAATTACATATTTTTAAAACCGATCAAATTACTACTTTCTGAATTGACTGTAAGTACTCTTTGTGACATTATTTTTAATACAATTTGCTGGTAATAATCTTCTTAAAAAACAATGAATAAAAGTAAAAAATAAACTTACGGCTTCTCGTGCCTGTTGTAGTTGTTTTTCTGCGGCAATTTTCTTCTTGATGTACTGTTTATTTTCGATTTCATGAGTCAACTGCAGCCACTGTTGTAATGCAGGGGGCGAGGACCAACATCGATCTTTAAGTTCTCCCTCGGCGATTTGCAACTCTCTTCGTAACATCTAACAGAAATAACGTCACAAATAAATCACTTAAGCACTAAGTACTTAACGTGCACATTATGTATTGTTTCATAAAGAAACCAACCTCGATTTCTGCTTTAAGTTGTGTGACTTCGAGATCCGAGTACGACGTATGCAAACCGCTCGAATCCGCCTCCTGCAATTTCTTTTCGAGATTAAGTTTTTCGGTGGCGACGTCTTCTTGGGCTTGCTTCGCCATTTCTAATTCTTTTTGTAAGTCTTCCAACGCTCTTTCAGCACTCTGCAAACTTTCCATGTCCCGGTTCATGCGGTGTAAGTGCGTTTTGAACTTTTTGTTCTGTTGCACCGCATACCACAGGCCGATACCTCCACCAATTAACAACGTTATTAGCACCAGATCTTTCCAATGATTTTGACTGTCTAATAATAATGGAATAAGAAACGTAAAAATTAGTGCGTCAAAATGTTTTTTTTTTTAACTTTAAAATAGTACATTTATGCACGTGGCAATTATCAACGACCCAAAAAGGAACATTAGCAGTAATTACTTCTCGTTATACAGGTTGTGATCTCATTACTGAAGCAGTTCTAAAACATAATTTTTACCTTTTGTGGAAAAACATACCGTGACAATAAAAAAATTCACATAAGTTGTATCGCATAGAAGTAGAAACTTGAAACAAGCAGATGCATTTAATCCATTTACACACTTAGTCTTCGAAAAAATATAAACAGAGATCGTCAACTGTTAAGGTCATTATTTACTGTTAAACACATTAATATGTAACGCATACCAGCTTCGGTACCGGTTACAATTGATTTGCATACGTTGACATCCGAGGTTGAAATACCCTGATAAGTGGAAAGTGACAACATAATCGACTTCATGCGTTTGCTTAGAGCATGTCTCACATTACTAAATGCATTTGGACGATAAGTTTCTTTTAACAAGTTAATGCATAGATGCCTATTGTATTATTTTAATGGGTCAAGTTGTAAGCTGTAATGAATACATTGCGAATGAAATTAATGTAGGTATATTAAATTTTTAAAAAAAGAACATTTCGAACTTATATTCGACAAACTGATAATTTGGGTACGGCTTTCACGATCATCGCTTAAAAATAAACTACTACTTTTGTTTGTCTTTAAGATTGCTGAGAAAGATAATTCATTAAGATGACAGTCTAAAACAATCCGAATTGAAACACTCCAATAATTATTAGCAAATTGCTACAAAAAATATAAAACATTCTTTCTAAAGGCCAAGAGCATTTCAAAATTTCCTACACAAAAATTTTCGACCTTGTCTTGAAATAAAATATGTTCTATAAAAATTTACAAGGAATGATAGTTGTAAATTACCTACAAGGCAACAACAAAAAATTATGCAAAGTTGTATTTATTGTGGTGTGAAACTACATCGATTTCTCGCAAATATTACATGGGTTTAGTGACTAAAAACATAAAGCATCTTTAGAATAGAACGAAGAAATCTATCCACGAAGATGCTTCATATAGTTGGTAAAAACTGGGTTATACAATAGATATCGATAATTTTTTTTGGAAAATGCTGTAAAATGATTATTATTGTACTTTAAAAATGAGACGTATAATCGCATGCATTATACTTTTAATTATTTATATATGCAATCTGATTTGTTGAATAACTGCCTTAATACATATAAATAATTTAACAATAGAATGACATAATGCTCGTTACCATACAGAGATGACTCATAAAAACCTCAAAAAAGAAATTAATACAAAACAAATCGTACAATCACGCATAAGAAAACTAACAAAAACTTCCTCCAAAACTTTCCAATTAAAAAAACAATTGGGGAAACTACATACAACAGACGTGATGATGATTCATCGCCAAACATTACGTTAAGCAGCAAGTAAACTTTGCGTTCTTACCACATTTTCCGGATTGCATTTGATAGATTGAAAAAATACAACAGTAAATGCAAATAAGCGATCGCACTTCACACTTATCACATTCTTGTTAAAAAGGTGCATATCACACGCGTTGCCAAACGGATTTCGACAAAGAAACAACTGCAACTCTCAACTAGCACGAAATCACATGATTTTCCGCGGTAGTTATTGTAAAACAAATATTTACAGTCGCTTAACATTTATATTTTCCAATCCAGGTTCAATTCGCGAGATAATTGCAGGATGATGTTGTTATAACACGCGTTACATAATCATTGCCTGGTGTACGTTTTTGTACGCTTCATTACCATTTCACAGTAATGCAAAATATTATATTACAATGGAAGAAAACGAGACAGAATTTACTGGTACTAATCTAAAACTATTTAGGAGTACAATGTTAAGCCTTCCTTACCTTTCGGGGGACCGAATAGAACAACATCCATAGCCTTTAAGGCGATCTTTTGCTTGTGGATGGGGTCTTTGATGCCCAAAGCGTTCATGAGGTGGACATTGTTTACGGCCAACCTGCTCAACAGAAAAAAGAAAAAGACCAATCAGTCAACTGAAGCAGTTTCATGCAGGAGGACGTAATGCACGTTTCTTAAAATTTTTGCATAAATGAAAAACTAGGCAAAAAATCGCCATTTTATTATGGCCAATGCAAATGACGACCCTGCTGCGGTAGCGCTCGTGTTCAAACTTTTGATTGAACCTACCAACTGTAAAATTGAATACGATTTAAAGTGCGTTGTTTTTCTACAAATCGACAACTAATGGACTGTAACGATTCAAAATTAAAATTCCGCATTTTTAGAACAAGGTCGGATTGAAGTAAAATAAAAGTGAAAGCAATTTTAAATTATGATTCCTAATGTTTTATTTATTTGGATTTCCCTTTTGAATGAGCATTGTTTATTAAAGAAGGTATAATAAACCTTAAAATAACACTGAAAATAGATAAGATTCCATTATATAGGAAGCTACTTCCTTTAAGCAAAGAACTATTTAAATAAGATAACTGTTAACTGAGTTAATGTTAATGTAATGAATGGTACAGTGACATGCGCAAGAGATGCAACAGGTCCTAAAAAAAAATTATAAATAATGGAACGTTTTCTTAATTTAAGCGAAGATTACCGCATTCTTTACAAAAATGTTTAATCGTACGTATTCTAAAAACAAAGACTTTTAAAGTACTGATAATAGAAGTAAAAAGATAAATAAT